GCCCCAGCTCCCAGGGCAGGTAACACACCTGCGGCCAGCAAGGAGTTTCTCCAAACTGGTAGTTAGAAAACAAGTAAAACTGAAACTTAGAAATCTTATGGTGGGGAGGAAGAGAGAAGGAAATGCGCATTTTTTTTCTTAATGCCAGCTGGTGTCTTGTCTTTCATGGAAGAGGAGGAGGAGGAGGAGGAAGAGGAGGAGGTGAAAGAAGAGGAGGAGGAGGAAGAGGCTGGCTCTTCCGTGGGAGAGGAGGAGGATGGAAAGTTGCTGAGGAAACGATTATATTTCCTGGCATGAGGTGATGGGGGAATTTGATCATCTCTCTGCAAAAATGTCTTTGCAAAAATTCTGTGCTCTCCTGTTAAAAAAAACCAGTCAGGAGAGTTGAGTTCTGTGCTCTCATAAAATGAGTGTGGCCTCTGAAGGTCCTTTGAGGCAACACGCATTTAGCGTAGCATCTCCGCTTTGCATCCTGCCCGCTGTGCGATACGTCGCAAGCAGTGACAGAGCAGTTATTATACAGGGACACTTCTCCAATCTTATCTAAATGCAAAGTCATGAAAGTAGGGCCAGATCCTTCTCCTTTTGAAATACTAATTTGCCATTTATTTTCCTGGCAGTACACTGCTGGAAATACTCCTAGGATACTGAAAATAAACAACATCTCTTTTCCTACCATTTACCAAACACTGTTTCTAATTTATGGGAGGCTCTGCCCACCTCAGGAGTGAGGAAACCCGGCGATGCCACCTGCACCATCTGGTGGCTGCCTCACTTCTGCTCTTCGGGCTCTCTGCAATCATGCTAAAAAGCTTTTCATTGGGAAAAGCAACATTTCCACCTTCTTCCACTGATTTAAGCTTTCATGTTAATGGCACACATTTTCCCTTCCACTGTGTGCACTATAAATCCAGTTTTAGCTTTGTGCGATGTTCATTGGGCTCTGTGGGCTATTGTGGAGTTATTCCACTGTTGCTGAGAGCATTTGGATCCCTTCCTATTATTTGTCTTTATTCTAGGGAATAAACACGCCGGCATTTTCTGCAGATGTGCCTCCTCTACCCAAAAAATCCCCCACAGCACCAACAAACAGTACAGGAACGAAAGACGGAGGTGGAAACATATTCTGGAAATGCCATGTTGGCTTTTCTGAAATGATGATTTTGACATTTTGCATGTACATTATCAAAACCATTGTGTGTGTCCTTTGGGGAGCAAAGCCGTGGGGTGGTGGGTTTGCTGGGGGTGCCCAGCAGGGCTCCCCGGCCACCCCTGCTCCTCAGCTACTGGGCAGTTGCTGTTCTCAACCTTCTTTGTCCAGAAAATTCCTCACAGTTGCCACTCTCGCTCCCCTCTTGTGTTTTATTTAGAAAAATTAAATTGCCATTCCAGTGTCCTGTGATGAATGTGATCCGGTTGCCGGATTTAACATACCCTTGGATAACATTTAAATATGTAACAGCAAACCAAGCTGTGATAAAGCTCTCACAATGAGTCGAGAGCAAGCTCATTTACAAAAGAATTTCAGTAGGAATTAAAATAAAATTTCCATTTTCCACAGTTACATTCTGATTCTAGTTGTCATTAACTTACTCAAAAAACCATTTGGTATTTCAAACTTTAGTAAATCATTGTGTCTTCCAATTAACTTTCATACTCCAGACAACATAATGTGACTAATTTCATTCAACTCTGTTGTTTAATAAACATCTAAACAATTCTTTATTTCTGAGTCACAAAGAAATGTGCAGTTATATTATATTGTGCACGCTGTAATGGGCAAAAGGAAAATTACTGAAGAGAAATGCATCTTGATTCTTTCGTTTATCAGCTTTGGAGAAGTGATGCTGTGTGAGTGATGGGCACGGCCTGGGAATTCGCTGGCCCTCCCCATCACATGGCATCATGTGCAAGGAGAAAGTATTGCGCTCTTGTACCAAGCCTTGGGATTTTTGGCTGCCTAAGCAAAGACGCTGCAGGGGTCAGCTGGATGCTTAGCAGCCCGGAGGGTGCAGGGGATGTAGCAGTGACTCTAAACTATGATTATTTCCATCAAAGAGACAAGTTAGGGGAGCTGGAACACTGGAACAGCAGTTGGAGATGGGCTGGCAGAATCACACTGGTCTGGGATGAGCCGTGTGCATGCACAGGGGGCCAGGCTAAATTTAAGTATTAAGATCTATTAAGGTGATGTGAGCTAAACAATACTATTTCAGTAATTGAACTATGATGTTAAATTATTCACTATTTAAAAATTGAGTGGACATGAGTGTAGGGGCACAGTTCTGATCCCCGTGTCCCAGCAGATGCTACTGCATCACAGCTGTAGGCAAGCATGGAGAAGGGCAGTGTACCTGAACAGAGATTTTCTCATCAATGCTTTTTCATTAAAATGGACACGTTTCTAAAACTGGCAGCTTTTACAGGGTGGTCAGCACATGAGTGTATTTTTCTGCCAGTGGAATTGCAGAGGGCTCTGTGTGCTCACAGGGGGACGTGGTCCTGCACAGCCGCTGTGCCTCTGCGGGAGAGTGCTGAGTGCTGGTAGATGACCTGTAAAAAAATTATTAGCATTGAAGAAATGTCATTCTTCCTGACTTAATTTTGAATATTCTCTCCAGAAGAGTTTGAGCAGACATCTGATCAGGAAGGAGAAAGACTGCTGTGTAACTTATCAAACTGATCACACTTGAGTCTGAAATTTCAGCATCTGTGGCCTTTCCAGCAAGCAGAGCCATTGAGATGAAATGTGCTAAATCCATTCCAATAACTAGGGTCTTTGAGGAACACAAGCTCCTCAAGGGATTCCTGCAGCAGGGAAACAAAAAGACTCGATTCTTTGACCACTTTGCTAATTACTGGCCTAGAGCCAGGCTGTGGTGTGTGGACCCCTATCTCTCAGATGGAGGATTTCTGTGGTTGGCATCACTGACCGCCAGGAGCATCAGTCTGAACACACTCTGAAAAACCTTCTGGACCATTTTATGCCTAACAGCAAAAATGTGTGTATGTTCATAAACCATAATACTGCCTGAGTTGTGGGAAGACGTCTACAGAGGCAGTGCTGTAGGAGAACGCAAGCAGGCCATATTGGAAAAAATAAGGAGTTAGTTTAGTGGTAAATGCTGTGATGTTTTTCTCAAATGTAAGTGTTTGCAGAGCCATTAAAAGCTATGTTTAATCTCTGCTCCATTTGCAATCTGATATGCATTATGCTTCTTCCGCAAGGAGGGAGTGCAGTTAATGGCATTGTATGACTCTGCCTCCTCTCTCGTGGAGGCTGGACGAGGTCTTCTCGTCTGGGACTGCTCTGCTGGGGGACTCTGGAGACATCCCTGAATCCTAAGCACAGGGCTAAATGCTCTTACATGTTTGTGTGTATCAAACTTGCATGTCAGCATTTGTGACTGAATGAAAACCTCCCTGAATTAGTAATGACATTTGTATTTTTAAGGGACTCAAGCTCAGGCAGCATTTTAAAAAAATGAATCCTGATTTTAGGTGATTTCTTTCTGCATGAATGCTCAGAACTGCCTGAAAATTGTCTGTTAAAGCTGCTTCAACTTGCCTCTAATGGAGGTGCTCACACTCACTAAACTGTTTGGCAAACACTGGCTGTAGTGTCTCATCCTCCTGATTATGTTCCCTATTTGCATTTCCTTGGATATAAAAAGAAAAAGCAAATCGGCAATGGACAGCACAGAACAGGAATAACAAAACTGGGATAGAGAAATAATCGCGGGTCTGGCAGTGCACCACCAGACACTGAGCCAGGCCCTGCACCTCAGAGCATCCCGCAGCTGCCCGGGGGTCCCGGTGCCGCCTGGGCAGGGCAGGAGCGGCCGCAGGAGCAGGGTGGCTCGGGCCAGTCCCTGACTCACCCCCCAACGGGTCTCCTGGGGATGCGCTGATGGGAGCAAGCACTCCGGCTCCACGTGGCTCAGGTGCTTTGGGAGTTTCCAGTTTTGTCCTTTTCATTTATTTACTCAGAAGGTTGTAAGCCAAGGTTTGGTATTTTAACATTTGGCCTAATATTAACTAGGGAAATACAGCAGGTGCACTTCATCATATTAAAGATATAAGCAATCTCTAACGGTCTGTTATTAATGTGGGTAGATTGACTGAAAACATTTTGCTTCAGTGGCTCTTAAGAAATTCACAGTTCATTTCCAGTCATTAAAATAATGAGGTGCTGTGCTCCAACTGCTCTGCTCAGGGCACAGCCATAGGGCCAGCTGACCCCAGTGTGAGCGAGGAGGTGAGCTTGCCACGTATCCCCTCCTTGCCGGGCCAGCATTTGCCCGTGCTCCCCCCTTGCAGCCCTGGGGGTGCTGAACCCCAACAGTGGCCCGATGGAACCCAGGGCAAGGCAGGGCTTGAGCAGGACTTAATGCTTTGATGGCTTTGAGGACCTGAGCCCTGGCCTTGCAAATAAAAGCACATGAATCACTTGCTCATGCTGGCCCATTTGTTTTAATGAGACTGCTCCTATAATAAAGATGCTTCCATAAATAAATGATTATAGGATTGAGACAAAAACAATCACTAAGGATTAGATGTAGCTCATGGGATCAAGAGAAGTCCTTAGTTTTATTGCAGGCAAGGGAAAAATGTCTATTCTTCTTTGCTGGATGGCATTATGTATCACCTTTACTATATAAAGAAGTCTTGGAAAATGTGAGTTAACCTGGTGAGGCCCTGTTACACTGTCCAAGTGATGTAAGGATGTGAGGTAGGAGATCTATAATTGCTCTTTTCTTTCTATACTATTTTTTCAACTAGTTCTTAATCTAAAAGTCTCTTACCATTTTTGAAAAAGCAAAGAGACATTCTCATAATTCTGGTGTTAGGGAGCAATGTCTTGAAGGTATTTCTGTAAATACACTTGAACTGTATAGAAGGTGGCTCGAGGGGAATTGCCAAGGGTGTGCAAAGCTTTTCTCTACACCGGCAGTTTGGACCTAGGCAAGGTTTATAGTGGTAGAAGGGCTGGAGAGTTTTGTACGGGTTTGGAATGGGATGGTGGGCTCAGGTCAGTGCAGCCACAGTGCAGAGGGGCCTCAGGCACAGCCGCTTGCGCTGCAGCCGTCGCCGTCCGAGGGGGTGCAGAGCTGCAGCCACGGCCCGCGGGTGAACCGGGCACGGCAGAAGGACTCGGACCAGGATCTGCTGCTGGAAGCAGCCCCAAAAATTAAGGATGCACCAAAACGATTCTTTGCCAGTTTGCATTTTCCTCTCTGCCACAGGGCTGAGGTGAGGGGGTAAGCGTGGCCTGGTTCTTAGCTTGTCTGTTACCGGTGTGGCTCCTTGTCCTGTTCAGCTGGTCCTGCTGACCCAAACATGAACTACGGTGAAAAAGCTCTGTTTACTACCTGAGAACACAGGATCTAGTAGGATGGTGTCCGTGCCTTCAGCAGGAGCCTGTACACTTTACTGTTATCCTAAACACAGCAAAAGTAAAGATGTAAATGGACCTTTCAGATAACCTTTGTTTCAGTAATCTAGGAATGGAAAATAATAGTAATAGTATTAGTAATAATAATCATCATCATCATCATCCACTTTAATGGGATCTGAAGAGATGTTTGGGTAAGTTTTCTTTCACTGTTCTCATATTTAATTCTGATAACCATCACTCATTGGAGTTTTAGAAAAATAGATTGTGTGTTAGTGATAGGAAAATAAGAAGCAATAAAAATGGCTGTTGAGAGACTCGTACAATGAGGGAATTTTCAGAACAGCTATAGTCAAGTACTCATGAACAACAGCAAATAATACTGAATAAATTTATATTAGATTATTCCCTAATTATAACGATTATTTAAAAGACAAAGTTACAGAATAATATACACTAGAAGATGTATCTATCTCTGAAGTCCCTGAAACCATACTTAAAACTTCAGAGTTATTACTCACCTTTAACACAGTTCTCATCAACTGCAGTGTAAGCCTTAGAGCTGACACTTCAGATAAGCACATGATGTAGTTCAGCCCTAAAACCCTTAACAGAAAATACATCAGGACTTACTGTAAAATTTCATGGAGGATTAGAGAAAATATTAAGTCAATAGTTCTTTAGTTATATGGAGCTTTTAAGGTAATCAATACTTTCCAGCCATATTAGTGCCTACGATGATGAAAGGCGACATTAATACCCAACTCTTCTTTTTTTGGTATATTTATGTATATCCTTTCTTTAGTCATTTAGAATCAATAGCAACACAAAGAATATGGTTATTTTAAAAATGTCATCAATATTGATTTGCTTATTACTGCCAGTTTCAAGTGGAACTTGATTTCAGGAAAAAAATTTACTTTTTCATACAAAAGAATTACCTAAAACTTTGGAGTACCGGACCTGACTTTGCTTATGGTGATTTTCACATTGAGCAGTGTGCTCATGCAGCAAAAGCTGGTTTAGGATTAATAAATCCTAAAAATAGGATTAATAGGATTAATTCTAAGAATTCCTTAGAGTTACATGGCATTTTATGCCCTCAAAGCATTGCACAGATGTTAATTAAATTTAATTGATATCGTTCAGTCCTGAATTTACATGCATGCAATTATTAATGATTTAATTATTTTTTCAATGGAATAGATTCTTTGCCTTTCATTCTGTTTCGATACATTGAGACAGTCATCCTACATACAGTCTTTAGGCTCAATCCCTTTTATTCAGACGACTCAGGAATATGGCCAGTCAAATGACAATATTTCTGATCCTTTGCAACAGCAGTGTTCTTGAACGTACTTTCTTTTGTCTCCCACTAATCATCTGCTGGCTTTCTTTTGTAATTCTCAGGTAGGAATTTGTTTTAAAATTCTGGTGATATCTCAGTGTTCGTCTCCGCACATCTAGGACCTTGTTTGTGAGCTGCTCATTTCCCTGGTCGTGCAGTTCCCCGAACCGCTGATTTATTTGACTGGTTGCAGCTTACAGTTTCAACGAGTCCAGCCACAACAGAAACATTGCAAACGTGTCTGTATCCCTTTGCCTGTGATTGCCTTCACTCCAGGAACTAGTCAGGAGTAAGTACTCGGGGCAGAAACTTCCCATAATGAAACAAACCCCATGTGCCCCAGGAACATCAGCCTGTACCTGCTGGTTCTGCCTCCGGTAAACGATGCCCTAACGCAGTGGTTCTCAGCCTGTGGTCCCTGGACCCCTGGGGGGCTGTGATGTCATCCCAGGGGGTCTGCGAAGGCTTTCTAGCTTGCGTTTTCATGTGACTTCTGTAGGCATGTGTTGTATTAATGGTTCTGTGTGATTGCAGTTTTGGTGCTGGCATGGTTGATGGGACCCACTTTAGGCAGTTTTTCTCTTAAAGACATTTTCTTCACCAAACAGCCCTCTTTAGGGCCACAATGGGGCTGAAGTCTGTTCCTCCAAGTGGTGGCCCTGGACCTGTAAACAATAATATATGGTGACTGAACACAGACAAACAACGGGGGAGGTGATAAGAACTGTAAAAACTTTTCATCAAATTTTAATGTAAAAATTGGCATCAAATTTAGAATTAGCACATTAAAATACAAATTAAAATAAAATTTTCCATTTGAGCAAGAAGAGTGTTGATGCTATTATTTTAAATTCATATGGAATCATTGCAATAAAGATATCATAGGAGTGTGTGCATTAACAGGTTACCTTATTGCCCCTTCTCTCCAAATTTGAAGACCCTTCATGAGAAAATTGAAATAAATATTTGATGCAGTCTAGTGCTTTAAATCTTAAATTAAGTCTTGGTGGTCTGCAGCCACAAGAGGTATTTAAGGGGGTCCGTGGTGAAGGAAATGTTGAGAACCCCTGCCCTAATGCATAATGGGAACTAACACTTTCTCTACCTCTGCTCTAGCCTTGATGCAAGGGTTTGAGGTGGGCATCACCAGGACTGCTGCACCCCTCTCTCCCTGCCTTTCCTGTGTGACAGAGCCCTGCACTGGATGCAGTATTCTAGATGTGGTCCAAGGGGTGCTGGATGAAGCGGGGTGTTTCCACTGAGCTGTCCTCCCATTGATACAGCTTAGGACGGTGCTGGCTGTTGCTGCCAGGGCTCACTGCTGGCTCTACTCGGCTTGCTGGCTCCCAGGGCATCCTCAGCAGGGCTGTTCCCCAGCCTGAGTTACCACAAGGAGTTACTCCTTCCCAGGCACTGGGCATTCACATGTTCTGGTTGAGTTTGGAAGTTTAAGGTCAGTCCGTTCCTCCAGCCTGTTTAGGTCTCTCTGAATTGAAAGCACATTGACTAGTCCCCCTGGTTTGATGCCATCTGCCAACCTGACAAGAATGTCTCCTCTAGGCTGCTGCTAAAGGTGTTACACGGGACAAACCTGCAGTTGGAAAGGAAGGCTTGCCTAGCAGCTTCAGAGAGCATGACTTCGTCAAAGGACTGTAATAATTTAAATTAATGTCTCCATTGAATGGCATCCTTTAGCTCTTTTGTAATTAACAAAATCATAAACACTGTCATCTAATTTAGTCAAGAGGGGCTGTGAGATCTGCCGTGTTTGCTGTATATATGTTACAGACAGTATGTGTCAGGGATAACTAACAGCAGGTCTGTTGAATGTAGCAGCTTCCTTTGAACGTGACTTCTGCAAGCTATTGTTTCCAGTGAAGTGCAGGGTTTATTTGCATGCAGTGATTGTTCAGCTTCCAAGTGAGTGCCAATGAATGAAGAGTCGATACATTTAACTGATTATGGAATGCAGAACTGCATTATTTTGGCTAGATTTAAATAACATTGGACTACAATTCTAATCTTGTTTCCAACCCCCTTATACATTCTGCTGGACTTAGGAACCCAGACTCCTGCAGCCACTGCCAGTTGGAACTTCCCTTGGAAATTAGCTTCCAGATGCCTTAAGATCAGCAAAGCTGTTTCACATACAGTTTGCCCCTTTCTGACCCATTCTAAGGCAGGTGGAAGAAGGTCTCTTACTACAGCCAGGTTTGAAAATGGAAGAAGCTCCTCCTTAAAGATATCCCTGAATCCACTGCTTTTAGAAGCTCTGTTGGGAAATGTTGCAGAACTACTCCCAAAAATAAAATGGTTGGAAAGAGCAAGAGAGTGGATGCACTGTGAAACCACTGAACACTTACACTAAAACCAGTTACTCCAGCAGGTCTGAGCACGAGGCATAAAGCACTTGATCTGAAGTAAATCAGCTGCAGTGCGCTTGGAGCGTTTCCGACATGGAAAGCTATGAATTATCATCAACTTCCTAAACCTGTGTTCCCGGCTGCCAGCGTTCAAATCCTATTGTGTCTCTGTACTGCTTATGCAGAAAGTTCCTTTCTCTTATGAACGGTAAGCTTCTCTGAAATGTAATGGGGAAGGCGTCTCCATTGCAATATTGATTCTCGTTCCTCTCGCTGTTGTGGCTGGTCTGGGCTGAATACAATTAGATGTGATCCATGCACTCGGGGGAAACAAGGCTTCTTTTCTCTAACTAAGCCTTCTTCAACTCCTAATAAATAGAGCATTAAAAGGGAATTATTCCATTTTGCATTTTATAAAATGGCTAGTATTCTTCCATTTCAGTGGCAGCCCCTAATGATCAAGTCAGTGAAAATGTTTCTAGTCAGGCTTTTTTTTATTCCTGTCCCTACTTATCTGGAGGAAGAACAAAACATAAAGAAACCACAGAAAACATAGCATTTAGCTGACTTTCCACAATACTTCATTTGTATAGCTTTCTCTCCATCCTTCCAAAAGGCCATTTAGCTTAATAGTTTCTTCCATTTTTCATTTCCTTATGTTACAGATGCTGGGGGGATGATTTTCAAAAGAACAATGGAATGACATTTTACCTGACTTCGGAAATGAGTTCACAGCAGTGGTTTAGCAGTCTCACGCCTTTTGTGCCTTAGACTTGCCTTCTGTAGTATAGAATGGGTGGCAAGATACTTTAACAAAACAATAGAAAATTTAAAATGAGAGAATACATACAATTTTCTATCCTACTGTGATTTTCTAAAGCCATTAGTGAATTGTTTCTATGTCTGTATTTGTAAGAAAAGACTGACTGACTAATTGAATTTTCAGAAATTTAGGCAAAGACAAAATCAACTGGCCTCCATTCCAGTTTGTTGGCCTAAATACCAAAAGTAATGTGCAAAATACATTATTTAAAAAACACTCTGAAGAAAACATGCCTAGTTGTATGATACATATTCAGATGATATATATTTAAGCTCTGTAAGAACGTACAATATTCAGTTTACAGGAAATAGAATGAATGAAAAACGGGAAAAAATTGGTATTGACCTGAAAATTTCGACTAGATTTATGTCCTGGTTTTGGCCAGGATACAGTTAGCTAGAATTAGAGGGAGCACAGTGAGAGGGCCGGGTCTGGGTTGGTCATTGGAATATTCCACATCATGTGACGTCGCGCTCAGTGTACAGGTGGGCACGGGCTCTCTCACGGCCCATTTCGCTTTCACTTTCCGAGCCAGCGCAGCGGGATTTCTGGTGCGTACTGGTCGCTGGTAGGTGTGAGCCACTGCTGTATCTTACCCATTTGGACTTGCTATTGTTACTGGGTTTTTGATACTAAATTTTTTTTAATTCAACCTACAAATTTCTTTTTTTTTGTCCCTCCCCTATTTCACCGGGAGCGGTGGGGTGGGGTGTGATAATTAAATGACTGGCCACATAGAAATTCAAACCACGACAGTTTATTAATCTATACCTCAGTATTGGTTGTTACTAGTTTATTTGGCATTGGTAATGATAGGTCATAAAATGAAGGTTAGTTCCTTGTGGAAGAGTTTGTTGGCTTGTTTAGGGTCTTAAAACTTGTGAAGCATGAAATCAATGACAAATTTTGAGGAGGTATTAGTGTTTTAAAATGTAGAGCTTATGGTGATTTAGAGCACTGTAGGAAAATAAACTTCTGTGAATGGCCACAAAATTCCTGAAAATCTCCTTAAATACTCAGCCATTGAAGGAAATTAATTCTAATTTGGACTTCAGTAGTAGAATGTCTACTTTGATGAATGTTTTATGCTTGATAGATAGTGATATTCAACTAGTAGCATTAGTAACCTTACTATTTACAGGTAATTATCCCTATAAATGAGCTGTGATGGTTTGAAAACATCTGTTTCCTTTTTGGAATCAGTGTACATCTGCCCTTAAACAAGGTGAAAATTTGGTGTGATAACTCTGAGGACTGAATTGCTTTTTTTTTTTTTTTTTTTTTTTCCCAGTGCTACATTCTCTGCAGTTAGATAACAGCTTAAAATCTCATTAGTGCACTTTTATGTATCACTGTGTATATTATTAGAATGTGTTTCCTTAATCTATTTATCTGATATTTAAGGCATTAAATGAATCATAGGGTTGATATGTATTTTTTAAAGAATTGTTTTATACTTTTGCGTATGAAAGCCTTTGATGGAGACATCCTTTTAAGGAGCTCTGCCATACTTACTACTCCTTGGAGCCTCAGACCCACATTATGTACATCCACCCACATGTTCGTCCAGACCTTTGCTAACACACAGCCTGCCCTCTGAGTGCACAAACACAATGAGACTCTCAACTGAGAGCTAATTTGATGCCAGCTGAATATTCAGCTAGTACTCTGAAACTACTGGTAATCAAATACCTGAAACATCTTGTTCAGTGTGAGAATTTCCATTTTTCAGAAGATGTATTTCCCTCCCATTCCCAGCGGAGGTTTTCACCGTCACTTTATCTGAAGTCCTTTAAAGCTGTTAGTTCAGCGTTTCACTAGGAGATTCTTTCAGGTAGAGGAATCCTCTTAATGTGACGGTTATGCTAGTGAAAGGAAAATACTACTCTATAAGTAGTTTTGTACATGAGAGAGGTTATCTTACAGAGGTTTCCTTATCCATACAGTTGGCAGTAAGATCCCTTTTTTCCTTCCAACAGAGACGAAACTGGCAGCTGGATGGATTTTAAACTTGGGGCAGCAGGGGAATGAGAACCCCTCTCCGGGGCTGTAACTACCCTCCCAAAGGGACTCGGCTGTACCATAGGGACATAGTCACAGGTTTTCATGCTGGGAAATGCCATGAGAGCAAGACTGGGATTGTCACCAACCTGCACAGCTGAAACTGGTGTGTGATATGAAGGTGGCAGCTCTGATACGAGCCTATAGACTGGTATGAGCTCAATATAGCTGTCATGTTCGAGTTGTAAGCCCAGATTCTCTTGTGATTTTCCAGCTCTTTCATGCCTCCCATGTTCTTCAAAGTGGCTGAAAAGCAGTTAGAGAGTTTCCTGCAATTTCCTTCAGAGTGTGAACATTCTGAAGCATCACACCAGGAGATGGTAAAGAACACGTCAAGGCAGATAGAAAGTGCAGCCAGTCTCGCTATGCCTAATGCATCATTACCTAGGCTGCTCTAACCTGTGTGAGGGTCAAGGACGATGGAAATCCTGCAAAAGCAAGAGCAAAATGAGAACTGCAAAAGAATAGAGCATGTCTAGAGTACCTGCTCCTCTGATACAGAGAGTTTGTTCAGCAGAGCTTGGCATTAATGTCCATAATATGTATTTTATGTCCATTACATTGTAGCATACTTTTTATTCCACTGTCTTTGCAGCGCAACCGCCTTTGAATTGGAGTCATGAAATACTAAAAAAAAGTTAGGGAATGATGTTAACAATATAACTTTCAGCCCAAGAACTGGAAAAAACCTAAGCTGACTACAAAGAAAGTGTACTCAGTCTCTACTACACTTCAGTACTTTGTGATGGAAAAACCTCAGAAGAGTCTTGGTTTCAAAGCCTTTGCCATGTCTCTTTCACTCTTTGTCAAGTTTAGCTCTCAGTGATACATTTTCACTGCCATCATCTGCTGAGGTTAGGTGCCTTCTTCCCCAAGACAAACTGCAGCCGTGTGAAGCCAGCAAAACCTCAAACAGAATCAAGAATGTTTTCCCCAAGATTAAGGACAATACTGTCATAAATGTCGCCGTATTAACTTCTCTAAACCTTCCTGAGTGCTGAGTGATTTTCCTGCATGGAGAACAGAAGTAGCATGCTCTTTTCACCAGTGCAAGAAAGATAGTACTTTTAATTTATACTTAGTACTCTGCATTTTAAACTTAAGTCAGATTTATTAACTAGTTACCTCTATCTAAATGTATATAAACCCAATTACATTATTTTATGTAATATATGGAAACAATTGATTTGTCTACATTGGTTAATATATACATGTATAAAACTGACACTGCTCACACTGCAAGTAGGGATTACTGAAGTGAGTTCTGCATCAACTCCTGTTCAGACAGGGCTAGTTAGATCTTTGGCAATACTGCCTAGACATAATATACATTGACCTTTTTGTTAAGATGGGTGCTGACAGATCCAATAAGAATAATGGAGAAAGAAGAAGAAATGTTATAGATAGTAAGACTCAATGGAGTTACTCGTTCATGCTGGCTAAAGATCTTGCCACCTAATTAACACAAAGACAACCAAAAATTTTGGTATGGAACAGCTTAAAGGCAAGATCAGACCCTTATCTCTGATCAGCCTTCTTTGCAGCTTGCACCAGCTATGAATACATCAGGTCTGTGCTAACCTCCCTCTGCAAGCTATGGACACGTCTCAGGGTGGCCCAGGAGCCGTGCAAGCCACAGTGGTTTCCAGAGCAGGGTAAGGAAGCCCTAACAGAATTTCGTTCAAGCTTACGGATCAGCATGCTGTAACTGGAGCCCTGCTCAACACCACTGCTGCTTTTCCCACTGGTGCTTCTGACCTGTCTCTTTGAAGTGCAGTTCCCCACCGCCGCAGAAGGGAGTGTTTGGAGCAGCTCAGGATCTGGCTTTAGGACCCATCTTTACTTTACATCACTAACTGTAAAGCTGCCCATCCACGACACTGATTTACAGCTTTATTTGTAAGAGCAGCAGTCACAGAGGAAGAGGTCTTGGCCCCTTTTCTCAGAAGGGTACATGCATCTCTAAGCTGTCTGAAAGCCCTGGATTTATGTAGAGGCAGTACTCCTAAAGGCTACCTAAAGAACGTGGGTTGTCTTTGACGTGGTATACCCTTCCAGTGAGCGTTGCCTGAAATGGAGTTTCCCTCACTGTCTATTCTCTTTATTGAACCAAATTTCTGTTTATAGTCACATTTGCTTTCTATCCCATGCTGTCTGTCACTTGTGTTGAATATGGGCTTTGCACACATGCCAAATAGTTTGTTACTTGGCGAGAGTTCACTGGCAAGAGAATTTGCTTCTACGCATAGTAATAGGCATGTTTGGCTAATAGGCTCTTTGTCTAAAAGCCTTTTGCATATTCAGAGCTGCTCATTTGTCACGCTAGCCTGACCTAGGCAGCAAATATTAAAAAAAGAGTCGTAAATATGCCCTGTTCTTACTAGAATGCCATCTGAAGCAAACATTAGCTGTTTCATGATAGTCATCTGCTGCTCTTTAACTTCACAAGCGTTGTCCAACCACACTTGTTTCTAGAACAGTTCTCCTGTCCATCACTGATTTTTTTTGCTTTTGGAATTGCCTTACTGCATTGTCTGTGTTCTCTTAAGAGTACATTTAATACTGAAATGGACAAGTCTGATGATGTAGTAGTTTGGGGATGGCAAATTTGATAACCTGGTACATGCAGAGCTGACAGCTTAGGATCTGTCCTGATTTTACAATTAAAAGAAGGATTTTTTCCCTATCTACTGGGTGTGTGTAACAGGGTCTGCAACTAGAAGTACTGCTCACTTGAATGACATGTTCCCTGCTTCAGCGGGCAGATAACACCTGCATTACCTGGCACATCTTCCTAATTTGTGCAAAAAAGTTGTTGTAAGTTCAACTGGTAACTTGAGAAGGCAGGAATTTCCTTGGGTATATGCAGATGGCAAGTGTCTGTAGTGTGGGGACTGCCTGGTTGTTGGTATGAAAATGCCTCAATGTATTTTTTGTAACTGGCTTTTCCCATGTCTAAAGTATAGATTTTGCCCTGTAACAGCTTTCTTCCTGTCAGTATTTAATAAATCGTCTAAAGGTTGAAAGTCACTTTTTATTTTGAAATACTTAGACATATTGCTTTGTTCTACCTCAAACTAGTGGGTTTGGGTGTATAACAAGCCAATTTATTGGCAGAGTAAAAATCAATGGCATACATACACAGGACTTTTCCTATTTTAATTAGACTATACAGACTACTTTTTAAACAGAAGTCAAAACAGCATGTTGCAGAAACACACAAAACCCTAATTTAAAGGGATTAGGTCAGAGAACAAACTTTTCCATTGTTTGCTGTGAATCCTGTAAAAATAGAAATCCCAAAGCTAACAGTGCAGCACAGCTGACTGATTAATTCTCACAAAGAAACAAAATCTGCAAAAGTGTATGTTACAGCACCATCTAGTGCCTCTTATCCCAGCAATATAGTAAATCAATTTAATTTTCCACTTAATTCAAGCATGTAGGTGGAGTGCATTGGCTGCTTAAACTTTCTGACAACTTCTTTTCTCTCAACTAGTGCTGAGATAGAAGGGAGCTGAGGGATGGAGATGAGCTTGAGCATTTTAACATGGTGAAGATTTTGTCAGTATAGCTGCTGCTAATTCCTCTTTTATACTCTTACCAGTCACATAGTTTTTCCTCCTGAGGACAGTAGGGAAGTGGACACAGGAGTGCAGATGCTGAGAAAATGGGAGGAAAAGAAGTACTGCAATTAAATAGCAAACTGACCTAATGGTATATTTGGGGGGGTGGGGTGGGTGGGGGTGGTAGAGACGTATTTTTGGTAGAGCATATATTCTGTTCCATGTGTATGACAGGTGGGAGGTTGGTGTTTGTTTACAAACACTTTTCGTTGAGAACCGCACCCATAATTAATGCACTGCACTTGTCTCAGGCAACCAGCACCCAAACCATTGCTTTCTTCATCCCAGGGATGACCCTCAGCAACACCAAATGAAATTCTAACTAATGCTACATTTAATACCTATAAATGTATTAATGTAATTAATACCATAAAATACATTTACATTGCTGTCCTTTTTGGTGTATTTTTCTTCTAGAAAGGTGATTAACATCCCCTGACTCCAAACTATTAAGAGGTTAACCAACAGCAACTTTGCAGTTAGCCACTGTTCCCAACCAGCAATTGCAAGATACAAAAGAGACAATATGAATTTGGGCATTAAATCCCACAAGGTCTGGTGGCGTGGTAGTTAAATTTTGTTTCTAAATCAATGTTCTAACAAATAAGGCTCCTAAAATAAAATAAAAACTCATCACAGCTGGCTGTGTATATCTTTGACTGCTAAAAAGAAAAAAGCCCTTCATCGTATCAAAGTGCTCTGACTTCATCTAAATTACAGTAATTTGCGCTACTCAATACAGACAGATTGGCACTGACCAGATTAGCTAACATACTTTGGGTTATACATATACTTGCCCTCACCAAATTTAATAAAATAACTTGGAATTTACACAGTTGCTCTTCAGCCTGCAACCTGCTGCTTTCTGTCTTTAACCCAACCCGGGGTTAGTATTGCTGGAAGAATAGGAAATGGCTTCCAGTGATTCCAGTCCGAGTTTGGGAACACGCCACATGCCAGGATGGATTACAGTGTGAAATTAATGACTCTCACCCTCTTCGAGCTAAAGACTGCCTTTTGTGATAATAAATAAACATTTATACGTTTAATGTATTTTCTAGCAGGTTTAGGTTAAAAACATAAAAATGAATTGTACCTTAGCATATTTAATAAACATCCTGACAGTAACATGTAACCTAAAAGAAGTCACATATCTCAAGAAAAATCTTCACAGTGTCTTCACTACGCCCCTGTAGGAAAGGCTGGTGGATAGTAATGTCTGTAATTTATAGTCAGAGACTAAATTAGAGTTAATGCCCAATTTGGGATTGTGGATTTAGATTTAAGGCACTAGCTAGAGTTGTACACGCTGCACACAAATATAGCTCTTAGCAGTATAAAGTCATAAAGAGATGCAGTATCATCCAAAATAAGAACTAGGGAACTCTAGGGTTTTGGTCCCAGAGTTTCCAGTACTCATCATTTTATTATGATTATTACTGTATTTACTGTTTCCTAGAAGAAACCCCAGCTCCTTCAGTCATGTGAATTATTTGAGAATCTCAGTAGCCATTAAAAAATAAGTTCTCTCCCTCAAGTCTTCAGAAACAAGCTTAAAAGTGTGACTCGGATGTACCCCCAGCAATTAAATGAAAAACCAACAGAAATCAAAATAGATTACCATATCAAAAGAAGCCAAAAATATTTAGCATAACGGTTTTTAACGAAACCCCAGGGTTTGGAGAAGAAGTGGCTCATATTTATTTAATCCTTTAGTTTGCCAGACTGCAATCCAGCCTGACAACGAAAACATTTGATTTTTTTATTATGGTATACGTAACAGATACAATACCCTGGAATTATATATATTATACTGAGATAATGCAGAAAAAGTTATGGAATCATAATTTAATAATTTAAGTGATTATTGTATTCTTATAAATGCTTAATCATCACATGCACGTTTGTGGTACGTTCCTTGTTTGGCAAATGTAATACTGATTGTTGCTCCGAAGACATACTCAGTTCAGTATAGATAGTCTTTGGAAATTTCCCATCATGGTAGGGAAATTAGACTGCTATTATCTTTAAAATGTGTTTCACTAAAACACTTTCATTTTGAAAATAAAATCAGTATTTTGCTTGGGGCTGATCGCAGGTTTCCGCAGGGCCCGAGGGCGGATATAAGGGCGCTGGGAGCGGTCCGGGCCCACCTGCAGCTCCCCGGGAGGCGCCGCTAGAGGCCGCCGGGCCGCCGCTCCC